CAATCTGAACAGCCTGGGATTTTGTATGAATATTTACAATGTAAGCTCCTACCGGTGGTAATTCACAGAAGGCTAAGGGATAATGAGAACTACCAGTACATGTACGGTATCTCACTTTTTTACTGAGACAGCGATATACAGCATTGTCATTCTTGTTGTGGCTAGAGTAGGAAAACAATATTTTGGTCTACCTTTTTTGGGAAGCCACAATAAAATTGACGTACACTATTTGCTTTTCTGTCAAATGTTCACTTTGCATTTTGGTATTTTTTCTCGGTCTACGGGATTGCTCATAAAGAGAAAAATGGCCACCATCTTAAACTCCACCTCAGCAGCTGAGTTGAAAAAGAGATGTGAATTTGTCAAGCCATGGTCAACACAACACTATTCTTAAAATGTCCATTCATCAGGGTTTTCCCTGCTTATTCAAGTGGGAGGCGGCCACCCCCCACTGGTTTTAGAGACTACCTCAGGCTTTTCAGCTGTGTATTACCATCTCACACTTAAAATAGACAAAGATGGAAAGAAAACGCAAAATAACTTAGACAGTTTGAAATAGATCAGTTTTAAATTGTTCAGAGTGGTAAAGGACACAGAATAAAATATCGATTTAGTTTAGAGGGGAGATTTGGAGTAAATGTACCGTACTATTAGACGGTATAAAATTTATTTTAGGCCTTTTTTTTAAACTCTTGCTTTTGTTTTACATGTAGATACTAAAATTTGGGCAATATTTGTTTGACCACATCACACTTACATGTACAGTATCTGTACCCTAGGGGAAACCCTGCCATGGGTACATGTACATGATTCGGTACATGTACATGTACCGCTGGACCATTTCTGTTGTCTGTGGGTTGACCTCAGCAGTGAGCAGTTTTACACTGGTGCTGGGACTTTACAGAATCTAAGCTTTTTTGAGTTAGATTCTGCATGGAGGAATGGATTCTGTCAGATTCTGAAGATATGTGCAAAACAGAGGAAGGTTAAGGTGGACATGTAAACAAAATTGACCTTTGGGCTAATAGGGTTAATGTACAAATACATGTATGTTGTCTTTATGCATTATCTCTAAACAGGACGGACATACATGTACATTGTAAATCTCATGTACATATATGGTTCAGGCAAACAATGTTCAGCTCAATTATCTCTGTCATGTCACATACTGTACATGTACAGTAGGTAGTACACTGAGTCTGAATTAAGGTCTACCAAAACATTTGGACATCTGTCTGAAGTACCGATATGTAATATTCCAGAGCAGGTTAGTGCGTACACACCATTTGCATTTGAGATTATGAACAGAAACAAAAATAAATGTATACATTTTAAACATACATGTACATATGAATCGTTTCAACATTTGGCTATTAACTTGAACTGAAGGCTACTGGTAGACACCCCCCCGCCCCTTCAAAGAAAACAATTCTGGGAACTGTTCAGTACAAGGTGTAGGAATTTCTTTTGGAAAGTCCACATACTGTGGACAATTCTGTGAAACAACTCTTCAATAAATGACTGAATTCCCAATGGTTATGAATTGCCCATTCCCAATGAGTTGCAAAAATGTAGGACAAAGAAAGGAACTTGGGGGGCACAAGTCCTTCAAATCAAGACCAACGGCCTGACTGACAGTAGTCCCTACATGTACATGTATGTATACTTATGCGTTCATAATGTGTCAACAGACTGTCTTACCATAATTGTTTCTATACTTTTAAGTCCAGGAAAGGCACTTCCTTCCTTCAAAGGACAAAAAAGCAACCAGAACACTTTCAATTTTGCCTGTAATAATCACACCGAGAATACCAATCAATTCAAGATCAAATTGCACATCCATGTACCGGTACTTACATGTACATGTACATTGTGTGTACATACATGTACGTGTTTGTACTTTCACACTGGCTTTGGGAAAAGCAGTTATTGTCCCATAAAATGTCTCAACCTTAATAATCGATTCAAGACTGTGGCCCAAAGTAAAGTAAGCATGTCTATGGAAAGTGGCTGTTCAGTGGGCATGTACATGTACAACCTTAGCATTCCCCCTACCATAGGGTCCTGGGTGGCCAACTGGACCAGGGATGCTTCAAGGATAATGTCCAACTTAAATTTATGCAATTGACATGAACACATACATACAGTGTATGGTGTATCACCAACTGAGGATCCTGAAGGCTTGAAGTTAATGTACACAGTTTTTTCATACTGTGCTTGGATTTTATTCACTGAAGGCATCCAAAAAGCTTAAGCTCAAAGCTCTTAAAGGTTTGAGGAGCAGTTTTGCCCACAAGTATTGACCAGAAATTTCTCTGCAAGTAATAAGCATTGTATTCTATTGGGAATCTCCATGGATTTGAGACTACGCTTCATTGTCACTTAGGTAGTTTATGGGGCCATTTATGGATAGGGAAGAAAACATTTAAGGTCAAACAAATGTAATAGGGCTGTAACAGCTCTCAAAATTATATGTTGTGATAGTTTTGCAAAATGATAAACTGAATTCAACAGTCACTCAGACAAACAGTAAGCCGGTCCTGCTGACCTACATGTACGTAAAAACCAAACTAATGGGCAGTAAAGTGTTTCATACATTTTAACCAAGTAAATAGCATGGAGAATGCAGCAATCCACAAGGTGATTTAGGTGAAATGCAGATGTACACGTACTCAGGGCTGCTAACTATGAATGAGTGATGAGAGGGAGAATTTTTGCCTAAGAATACGGGAGAGGAAAGTACAAACAGGTGGGGCTTTGGGACACGCTTGAAACATTCTGTGACAGTACACTTAATTCTGACCACTTCAGTCATTTTGTAAGCAAAAGACCATCATTGCTGAGCTCTGAAATCAAATGTTCGCTACATTTTCATTTAATATTTTCGTGTAAAACACATTTTGGGGACCTTTTTTGTACAGGGCATGAAAAGTAACGTCAAAAACTACTAGAACCGGTACATGTAGTATGAACACTTTTGATTTTGGAGAAACTCCATTGAAGATTTCAGCACAGCACCTCACCACTAATCTTTCAAAAAAGGATGAATTGCTAGCTACTATGGGTGTTGCAAGGCAGGGGCAAGAGGGGGCACTTGCCCCCCTTGAAAAAATGAAGGAACATTAAAGAAAATTTTGGGGAAAAAAACGAAGTAAATAGAAAATGAGAGAGGAAAAGGGATGAAAGTCACAGATTTGCTTAAAAATATCGTCCCTCCATTAATGGGTTTATCATAACTAAACCAATTCGCATCTGTAGCAAGGTTTGTTTTATTTTTTCATTTCACGGGTCAACAAATGGTTTGCCCCCCTGGAAAACAATCTTGGCAAAACCCATGATTGCTAATGGTTACAAGTAAAAACAAATATGTATCGTTGCACTGGTTACACGCATCAACTACATGTACTGTACAAATGAAACAGAAAGAATAAAGTATCCAGATGCTACAGTATTTCCACTTTGATTCCCCGACCCCCAACAAAAGAAAAACAAAAAACTTGAATTTAGGACATTCTAAATTGAGTCCTGAGGCCATACTTTTCTTTCATTTTTCTCACGGTGAAACATGGTGAAAGTAAAAACTAACACTGAGGGCATGATGGAAGAGCAGAATTGAAGTAGATCTACAACATTTTCAAACTGTTTGCAAGGGAAAGCAATAACTTAAGAAAGAGGTCCGTGGACGCCAGTATTCCCTTCTGTGACATTGTCAGTGACTGTTGGCCATCAGAAAGCAAAAACGTGTTCAGAAAAGTAAAATTTAGGAGGGAAAAATCAAAGTCATTTACTTAGACATGTTAGAAAACACTTTCAGACCCGTCCTCATAGATTTGTGCATGCAGTGTCAAGTGGCGTCCGTATATGGAACTCTTTCCCAGAAAAGTTCAACTTAAGAGGAAAAATACCAATTTGCTTACTTAGGCCAGCAGCTTTGAAAGCGTTGAGACCTGTTTCTGAGCCCCAGTAAGGGTTAAATGCATGGGGCATGTTGTGGAGTGTCATGCGTCCGCACACGGAACTCTTTCTAGCAATAAATTTTCAAAAGGAGTCATCATTCACAAAAGCCTAAGGAATCCGCATCGAAAGCTTAATCATGTACGTCGAGAATTCTCGACCGCCCATTCTGGTAGGAAGCTTTCAACGACCACACCAACCACATGCACAGCACACAGAACTAGCGCAGCGCGCTGATCACGGTACTGACTGTTCCCGCGGTCTGTGGTGGGTACCCCGGTACACGTACACTGGCAAGATAAGGCCAACTTCAGCTGCAGAAATTAAACCAAACAACCATTTTTAAAAAGCTTACCTTTGTATTCAGACGAGTGGTTTGCTGAACAATCCTTTGGTAGCTTATTCGGGGCCACTGTTTACGAGCAAAACTACTGACAGTACCGTACTAGAATAACCCCAAATAACTATGGGACACAAACTGACAAAATGCTGTGTTAACATTGGAAACCGAACGCTTGGTAAAACCAGGATGCAGTATATTTATGCACACCAATAGGTGGCGCTTCAGTTTGGTCACAAACCAAACAAAATGCCGGTAGAAAAGCCAACACACTCATTTTTGCCTACAACTTGTATGGGCGGCCTAAGTTTGAAGAAATATCCCCTTTTGGTTGGTTTTCGAATGTACCTCAAATTCATTAAAAATTGACATTTGTCCCAAAGTGTATTTTCATTTAGTATTTAGAAGTACGGTGTTCTGATCACTGTTGGATTTTAAACACTTTGTGAATTGTTCTTTTGTACAGACGACCAACTGTAGTTTCAGCTGTCAATTGTAGGAAAAATCATAACTATGACGTCAAAAGAGCATACCTTATTTAACAGGAAAAATTTTCTTAGTAAATTCATTTCCCCAATATTGCCTCAAAATTATCAGTTACCATGATCGCCACATACCGAGATGAAGTTGCCAATTTCCTTGGCAACTGTATAAATACCATGTGAAAATTAAGCAACCGGTAAGAACCAAAACAAAATGCAACAACTCCCCCCAACGCACATTTATTTCTCACAGATAAAGTTTTAAACAAAACAAGCAGGCTCTGAACAATTTTCGACGGCATTTAAAATCCCATGACCACTCCATGAAGATAGAAAACAGCACAAAAATGAGGACATGTGATCAGAAAGGATTTCTGTTTGAAACATCTCTATTTCACAAATCTTTTCAACAAGAGTTGGGACTCTCTACTAAGTGGTAATGATGCACATAAACATAAACTTTGTATTAAAAGGTTGCCATCAAAAGAATGGGAACTTTTGAAGAGTCGTTTAAAATATCTCTAAAACCTACTGATATTAACCAACCTTGTAGTCAGAGACTGGAGTGGAAACTACCACAGCCATCACAGGGGTAGTCCCAGTCTTACACACAGGTGGAACAAGCACTTTGAATGGTTCTTGAACCACTTGGGTGTTGCAACTTGTCAAGAGGCACGGGCGCTTGAAATTTGAGAACACCTTTGACATGCAAGTGGAGGTGGTGCCACTGCAAATATAGCATCTCTGTGGGTTCAATTAATTACATGGGGCTACCCAGCTGACAAATTGCACTTGGCAAATTTATGGAAAATGCACAAAACCAGTCACATGCTATTTACCTTGCACGACATTTTTGTTACACCATTTTTTGCTGGGCATAATCTTTAAGCAACATCACTGACTTGGCTGAAGTTGCTGGGTTTGCATGATTCATTATACAAACATAATAAATAAATATTGAAAAATATTATTTGAAGGGGACTGCAGTGGTCTCTTCTCCATTCTCGTCTGGCATACTATTGCACCCCCCCATCCACAATGCCCCTTAAAGAAGAAGAAAGGGAATAACCCTATAAATACGCTGCTTTCATTTCAGATTCGGGAGTGCACTAAAAATGTACATCTGTACCACGAACAATGTCCCTAGTGTCACAGGATGTCAGCCACCCCCCCTTAAATTTCCATGGCCATACAATATTTATCATCCCTCTCCTGCCATCCCAAGCACAAATTTACACCGCTGATAACAACAATGGCCCTCCCCTCATCAAGACATGCAGTGCAATGATAACTGAAACAGATTGTGACCAGCTTAAGTTACAAGTTCATATCACCTGACAAACTCAATATGTACATCTTTTCCCCTCTCTCCACAGTTCACATCAAAAATGGTTTCCGACAAGCAAGACTGACACATACTCTGTAAACAGCTCTTTCATGCCCACAAATAAAACGACAGTTGTTTGGATATGGGTCGTGTGGCAATCTTCAAAAAAACAATCAACAGCTTTGTCTGTGACTTCACATCCACATGTAAACTGAAGCCTGCAGCTGAACCCAAGATGAAGTTGAGTTGATAGAGAAACCCCCCAAAGAAGCTTATTTAGTGGGCGCATGGGTGGTTGCTGTTTGAGAGGAAAGGGTAGTCGGAGTGGGCTGGGTGACCCGTGCGGTCCCAATAACTGTGGAAACTGGGATAACAATGGCAGTTTTTGTATTGTTGACAGCTGTCAGGGCAATTGGGATGGCCCTTGGAACCGGTTGAGCAGCTGCCCTTGATTGGGCAGCTATTGTCTTTTGGGCAGGCATTGTCACTTGGGCCGCCCTTGTCACTCGGGAGGTTGTTGCTTGGGCTTGGCTTGGTTCTGCGGCAGGTGTGGTGCCTTGAGCGGCCTGGTCAACTCCCTGGGTCACACCGATGGAGCCCTTGAACATCTGGGCGAAGAGGCAATTGGGTATGGTTTGGCAAATCTTCTCCATGAATCGCCGCTTCTCTTCAGCCGAGGGCCTATGTATACGCTCCAGCAGCATCTGGGCATAGGGGTCCTTCTTCTTGAAGAGGTCACTGATCTTCACTGGCTTGGAGACATCCTGGTGCTCTGGGGGGGAGTCTGGCTCTTTCCCTGCCGAGTCACGTGCCTCCATTTCACGTGCAAGCCGCTCAACGCGGAACAGCACTGCAATGACATGATTGCAGCACTGGTAGAGGTCAGACGTGCAGGAGCAGCATGACACAACAATGTCATTGTCTGCAGTCGTCAGAATCTTCACAATGTTGGGTGACTTATTAGCATCAAAGCCATCCCCTGTTTGGTTCAACGGTGCAATGGTCCCTTTCACAAAGACAAAGTTAGTCACGACATGAACCTGGATGCTACGGACACAGACCGCCTCAAGAAACTGGTACGCTTTCTTCGCTTTGTACTCGCTCAGGTAGTATGTGTCGAAGGCCTCTTTAGTGAGGATGTAGTGGAAGATCTTCCCGATGTCCAGGCTCGGAATGCCTGAGATATCCACGCTCCACTCATTAGCGACGTCAGGGTCCGTCAGACTGTATTCCTCAAGAACGTTGGCATACTCTCCTTTACTGTCCTCTCGCTCAATCTTGAACTTCTTGGGCTCGCTTGGACCACTGCTACTGGCTCGCTGCTGTGCCAGAATGGCACGCTCTGCCAATTCAGCTCTGCAACCTTCCGTTCAAAAAAGGAACAAGCTAGATGTCAATTGAACTGTCAACCTGGCTCCAAATTCCGTAATAGAATTTGAAATTAGTGTCAGATATTGTACATTTTGGACCAAATACTATGGGGGGGGCTAATTTTACACTCTGCATAGCTTTAACCACTCCCAGAATTAGAGCGCTAGAAGGCACACTGGGAGTCCACCACATGTTCTAAAACCCTAGATCAAACATCTGAGAGAGATATGGATCATTTCGAATGGCTTGTTTGTGGAAGATTTGACTGAGAAATTGGAATTTTTGATTGCAGTAAATGTACCCTGATCAACACTGATCTGATGTAAGTGGGCTGTGTTCAACAATAATAAAAGAGTTACAAACTCACAAAAAGTAGTTAGGCTATCGGGCACGTGGAGTTGTACCTTATAGTTCTGGAAGTACTCTTGACTAACATCTGTGACTGTATACTCCCTGATCCCTAATTTCACCACTTATTGTCAATTCAAATTGGTTTTTGCAGTAAGTTACGAAATAAGGGACCTGGTGACTATACAGTCACGGATGTTATATACATGTACATGTATAGCCCTACTGGTAAGTCTCACCAGCAATAGATTCCCCCTTATTAAGCAGGAAGTATTTCAACTCTGCTGTCGAGAACTCCAGGAAGTCTTCGATGGTGGAGAGCTCATTGTCCATGTTCGGGTTCACGGTCATTGGGTCGACAAGTCGGCTGTCAACAGTGATGAAGTCCAGTGCTGCCATGATCGATGATGCTACCAATAATACATGCCATACAACAGTGTTACATGTGCATATTCAGTCTCAGTCACTTGTAGTCACAAACACGTCATCAGTAAATATGTCTGATGTAGAATAGCTGTGAGTCTTACTTCCTTCAAACTAGTCTGCAAGACGTTACAACATGACGATCTACTTCCAGAACTGTAAGGTTTATACAGACCTTACAGATAGCCATGTACATGTACATGTACAAACTCCCGTAAACACACTTTGGCTGTTTTGATTGTGCCAACTTACACTTCCATCACAGCAATTTGTGCTACCAAATTTCATACATGTATATGCCTTCTTGGTGAAGGTACATGTAGATGTCATGTGGAGAGGTTTATTTACCTTGCATTCTCATTAAAATGGTGAAATTCTTGAGCAGTTTGCACACTACAGAAAATCAGCAGCATGGGCCGTTTTCCAATACTCGACTTGGGCTCCGTCTCGGGCTTCAACTGTATTTTTACTTCCTGACTTTGAGGTTATAAGCGCAATAGTAAGTCTGATAGCGCCACAAAACATCAAGTAAGATGCAAAAGAGCAAAACGTTACACTGTTTCAATTTAAGTTAGATGCTTCAGGCCCACAATTGAGGATTGGTTTCCTACATGAAACCTGAGACGGAGACGAAGTTGAATATTGGAAAATGGCCACATACTCTCAGTAACTGTCAGATGTGTGATAGCTTGACCAATCACAGCACAGCTCCAATCTTTTCCTTTTATTTTCCTGTCACCCACTGATGAAAGCCGCACTGTGATTGGTCTAATTTGCTTCCATTCAAATGACCAATCTTAGCTCAATTTTCATTTGGATGGGGTCTAGAAAACAAAAGGAAAAGTTAGGAGCTGTGTTGCGATTGGTCAAGCTATCACACAGCTGACAGTTATTGAGAGTACATACATACATGTACCAACCAGACATGTATGAAATTTGGTTGCACAAATAGATGTGATGGAAGGGTAAAAGGGTAAAATCATTAAAGCCAAAATGTGTTTATTGGAGTTTGTACGTACAGTAGCTATCTCATCTCATCTCAACTGTAAGGTTTATACAAACCTTACAGTTCTGGAAGTAATGATGATCTATGGTTCGTCGCTCCATGGTTATTCCGCCTCTTTGTTTTGGATTGGCAGAGCAACGAACCCCATACAGTTCTGACGTAGGCCAAGGGGGTTCTGGGAAGTGGAAATGTGGGGAACATTTGCCTGTTTTGATGAAGACAAGTGCGTTTCAATTGATAAGCAAAGAAAAAGCAGACATGGCAGAACAAAGCGATGAAAGCATAGGACCTAAACATGTCCTGTAGCTGTGATCACATCAAATCTATACACTGGACCCTGCAGCGTTCAGCAATCAGTTGTCGCCGTGCGTGTGCTGACACGGCATGCTTTTACTTTTTTAGTGAATGGTGTGCTGGGCCATAGGCCAGTGCACCTTGACGTCGTCTCCAGCTACAAGACATTAACCATGTTAACATACAGTTCAAATCACTTTCTGAACAAGATGGCGACATAACGCTTGATGACAAGACCGTTTCCAATTTGATAGGGAAATTTCTCTTTTCTTCCAAAGCCTAAGTAGCCTAAACCTTATCATTATAGAATCTCTGATTCTCACTTGATCCTAAGCATGCCAAGCCAGGTGCCTTAGACATGTTCGACAGTTTAAGGATTGTTTTGGCATGTTTGGACATGTTTGGAGGTGAATTCAGAAGATTTTGATTCGGGACACAAGGTATTTTGATTGAAATGAGTTAATGGATGCTAAGGCCTGTGGAAGGTACTTGGACCCTACTTTCGCCAGTCCAAATGTTTAAAAAGGCCATTTGTATAGGATAAGGGTACAACTTAGAAATTACTCGGACATGTTGTCAGACATTGTCGGACTAACGTTAGATTGGGCCTAGGCATGCTAGCTAGGCAAGGCTGGCGTAGTAATAATGTTGGAGCAAGAATAAATAGTTACAATTCCTACTGTGAATAATGACCAGATGGACTAGGCTGGCAGTGAAGAGTCCCTGAAATAAATGACGGAAATAGAACAAATTTCCACACCATGCAGAAACACATCACTTGACTGGTGTCTGGTTAAAGCGCCCTCAGTTGTTACTTAGAGAAGCGAAGAGGGCGCTCTGCTCACAAAATATAGGGGTGCAGACCACTAAATCAAGTGAGAATTTCTGGCCAGCTCATTAGCATTAAAAGTGCCCCCGCGGTATCTTTTGAAAAAGGAGATTGTTTGGCCCCCAAAATGGTGAGATTGTGTAAATCGTTGCCAGGATCAACTCCCTGGGTCTTTGAGCTTTCACATGAGAGCAGAAAGGCTAAAAACTACGGTTGAAAAATGGTCCTAAGTGCCCGAGAAAGTTGAGGGTTACCACTTG